ATCAGACCTGCTCTTAGCAGGGTCCCCAGATGGGGAGCTCTGCAAGCCCTTCCCACTGGCTGCATCCCCCAGACCCCGTGGGCTCGGGGGACACAGGGTGTTACAGTGGGCATGGCCGTGGGGATCTTTCATGAGAGCCCAGCAGGATGCCAGGCGCTGCAGTCACTCGGTGCACTGTGTGACGCCTCGCTCAGAGCCACGTTTGGTGCTGGTGTCCCTCTGTTGCACCTTGAGGTCTGGGCTGCATTTGGAAAGGGGAGAAACTCCTACAGTGAGCCACACTTTTCACCATTTGTTTCTATTTTGGGACATAATTTAAACCACACGGAGAGCTTTCAAGGGGGAAACAAGCCAGAGCCTTTTGAAACAAATCACGTCATGCCAGTCCAACTGCTCCATGGTGTGAAGGACTGGGACATAAAGATTTAGCAGACTGTTTGGGGCTGGCTCCTCTCCTTTTTCCTTGGATGGCAGGTTGTGCTCCATGCTGAGGGTCTCCCAGGTGGCTCCCCCTGAGCTTACAGGAGCAGAGGAACTGAACCGCCACTTGCCTCGACAATTATTTTGCAGTGTTGTCACAAGCACCCAGGGAAACAGCAGTCCCACCCCTTCTGCCCAAAGACCAACAAAGCCATATGTAATCCTAAAAAAATGAAGCATGCTGTAGCCCATGCTACATCCGTGCCCACCGTCGTGCTGCTGGCCGGTGGCTGGGAGGCAGCGCTGGCTGGAGGGGAGGGCTCCCTCTGGTTTGTGGGGTGCTGCCTGCCTTTCCCCCAGCGGTACCCGGCCCAGCCCCGTCTCTGGGCTAACTCAGCCCAGCTGGGCCAGGCAGAGATGCTTATCCCCCTGCCCGCACTCCTCTGCACAGCACGCCTGCAGCGCCAAATGCACAGCATCCTCGCCTGGGGTGAGACAGGCTCTGGATGTGGGGATTTCCCCTGCGGGCATCGCCAGGGGTTGCATTGTCTTCGAGAGAGGTCACCACAGGCTTTATACTGATATTGTGACCTGGTGCTCTCTCCTCCTGCCTTGTCTGTACAAAACAGAGGGGTCGGGAACAGTGTTTCTTGCTGAGCCAGCAGCTCTGTAGGTAGCAGGGCATGCTGCAGAGCCCTAACGTGGAGCCCTGGACATGCCTGGTGGGAGCAGCAGGGAGGCAAGACCTGGCCTGGGCTGGAGATGCTCAGGGTGCTGCAGGAGGCAGCCAGCCATACCTGGGCACAGGACAAGGCTGTCCCCCTGCTCAGCCAGGTCTCTGCCTCCTCTCCCAGCAGCAACCGTCTTGCTGAATCCGCTCCTGGGGCTCTCACTGAGCAGCACAGAGCTTCACCGTGGGCGGCTGAGCAAGTGGGGAGAGATGCTCCCCCGGGGCTGAGCCCATACTGCTCCTGCTCATCTCAGCACAGCACCAAGCACTTCTGACCTGCCCAGCTCTCCCCACAAGAGCATTAGGGCCAGGCCCTCTGAACATATTTTTTAGAGAATCTAGGGTGATTTGGCTCTATATGGGTTGAGATTTCTCCCATTTCTAGGTTTGCAGTCACTGCCAGAGACTTGTGCTGGCTCAAGCCTCCTTCCAAGACATCCTTTCCCTGCCTGTACGTGTTGACTGCCCATAGCCTGGCCTCTGCTGGGCTTGCATCTGAGCACACAGCTCTGCCGAGCCCTGCTTTGAGATGAAACATCTTGTGTTGACTTGTTTTGACCTGGGCAACCTTCCAGAACAGACAGTTGCACGCAAGTTATGCTGGGCTGTGAGAAAGCAGCACGGACATGTGTTTCCTAAATACAAGGGAGAGAGCTGTGGGTAGTGTTTGCTATCCTGCACCAGATGCAGGGGCTCCAATATGAACTGCTGCTCTGCTTGACCACCTCCTTCTAACTGGGCTGCAGAGCGGAGCAGGTCTGGAGTGTGCCTGGCTGGAAGCCTGGGGACACCCTTCATTATCTTTAAGGAGAGGTTCAGGGACCAGTCTGAGGCCAGGGTCAGCAGGGAAGCGCGATGAACATCAGCCAGAGCTCTGCCACACCCAATCCTGATCCCCTGCAACATGGGCAGATGTTGCAGGACTGAAGTGGCATTTGATGAAGGAACTATAATGTTGTCAACACCAAAACTGGGACAAAAACTTTCCATTTATAAGTGTTGGGAGAAGAGCAAATGGCATCCACAGGTGTTAGAGCATGAGCTTCAGTGTGCTCATACTGAACCAGAGCAGGAGGCACCTACCTGGTGTCTACCCAGCACTGGCCAGAGGCAGCGGTGTGGGGACTCCAAGCCTCCAGAAGCCCATCTGTATGCAAACAACATATATGACAATACTTCTCCAATTAAAAAGTATTTATGATGTAAGAATATGGGCATCAGTGACCCTGAAAAGGTCTGCAAAGAAAGGGGAAGATGATACCTGCTCTGCATAGGACAGGGTGTCACTAATGTGACTTGTGTGCACAAACTCCAGGTGACTTCAAAGAGGAGCTGGAGAAGGTTGGTTACTTTTCTGACAACTGTTGCCATCGCTCCTGGGCTGCTGTGCTTAGCCCAGGCATTGCAGCTCAAGAAATAAATTGTTAAGGTGGATAATGCTCTTGCTGGAGATCCCATAGGAGATCCATCTACTGGATCCCTGTGGTTGCTTTTGGCCTGGTGGGGCTCCCGCACTGCTGTTCCTGCAGAGCTGGGTCACTGGCAGGGGAGGCTGAAACTCTTGGCACCCAGAGGAGCCTCAGAAGAAGAAAAGTTTATTAAAGGAAATGCAAAATGGTCATGTCCTCCCGGTGCTCTTTCCGTTCTCTTTCCTTCTCTGATGCCGGTGTCTACCCAGGCAAACCACCTCCACGTTGCTGCCCAGATGGCTGCCAGCTGACCCACTGACTATACAACTCATGCTCGCTCACTGCAAGCCACACAGAAATGTACTGCTCTGTCTTTGTAAACAGGCTAAAAATATCGCAGTGCTGTTCCTCTGAGGGCTCGGGAGTTCAGAGAGGCTGGGAAGGAAGCCGGGGTCAGGCCGCCTCCGGGGAGCAGGCGCAGGCGTCACACGTAGGCGCGGAGCCGCAGGACAGTCTCCTCTGGCTCTGCAGAAACGAGGGCTGGCTAGAAGAGACCCGACACACCAGACATAGCACGGGTGTCCTGCCACCCGGCCCTGGCGAGTCAGCAGTGCCAGCTCTCCTTGGCTTAGTGCTAATTGTGCCAGAGTGCGGGAGGTGTGACTTGGAGCGGCCCAGAGCTATGTGAGAAGCCCAGTGTGGCAGCAGGGAGAAGCCTGGGATGGTGGAACAAAGTCTGGCTTTGGTTCTGCTCCTCTTCTGAAGAGTAATTATTCTCTTCTCTGTATCCTTTTGTGTGTTGGGTTTGGTGGTGCAGGTCCCGGTGTCCTGCAGAACGCTGCCTTCTCCAGGCGGTGCCACCCCAGTCAAACAGGGGTAAGCTGTCTTCTGGGCCCCTTTTCTGAAGGGTGCCCTGTGTGAGGCTTGTGTCCCATTTTCTCTGATTTCTGGAGTCAGAAAAGACTATTCTTTCAGACATCCTATTTCAGAAGTAATGAAAAGCTAATTTCTGTTCCATCACACCTGTGTACCTCATTAAAGTGTGTAGCTATCCTAACCACATCCTGGTCAGGGTAACCAGGACCCAAGTCTGGATGTCTCCCTCCATAAATGATGCAAAAGCGTGTTCCAACTAGAAACCTCATCAGGAGTTATTTCAGTTTGCTATATATGTCTGGAAGCCACGAGGACCTGGAACATTTTTGGATTTTCCTTCATTAGTGCTTAACCTCGTTACGTGGTGTGAGACTGTGCGGCACAGAGTTAATCAGTAATGAGCGCTGGTGCCCCATCAGGCATCTGTTACGTGCTGTGAGCAGCTGAAAGCAGAGACCAGGGATCAGCTCTGGTCTCCTAGCAATAACGGCAGTGATCTCTGCTGTTGAACGCTACCTGGCTTCTCCATTTCTCCACTCTACTTATAAATTGAAGTTTCCTTCATATGAGCTGCGGCAGTGGGAGCCAGGGGTCAGCTGCTCTCCCAGGGTCTGTGGGAGCTGCCTGGTGCTGGGCAGTTCAGTCGCAAATGAAGAGGGAATAGGTCCAAAACTGAATAAATGCACATGTTGGGCAATAAACCCATCAGAGCCCAAATACGCTACTAGCATCCTCTCGTCTCTACCTGCCTGAAAACCCGAGGGAACCCCGATCCACCCAGCACTCAGGTGGGTTGGCGTGGAGGTGGGTGCCCTGCCACCCGCTTGCGTTTGCCTTCCTGCAGCACGACTCTGGGTGCAACAGCGCCTGGTCACGCTCACCGCGCCGACTGTTCATTGCGACAGAAATTCAAACCCCGATCGGCTGCCTCTTCTCTAGCCAGAATGAATTCAACAGAGAGGTTATTTGAAAGAAAATAACCTTTGCAGTGTAAAAAAGTTTAAGGGTAAAAGCACTAGATTTAGCATGCTTTTCCCATTGCCTCTGGCAAAACTAGAGCAGAGTGTCAGGGGTGGTGTCCGCAGTATAGCACTCAGCAACGTGCTTTGCACTGAGCTCATTCAACTGGGCCACGCTCCAGTTTATCGAGGATTTCTCACTGTCGTAACTCTAGTGCTTCGAGTACCTCTGTGTGTTTCATTTGTCTCCATCCTGCAACTGATTTAAACTATATGTATCCTGCATTTATGTCCTGACAGTATTTCTTGCTGGGGCCCGTGCCACCCACACCTTTGGCACTGTCACACTCAATCCCCCTTGCAATCTTGGCTGTAGATGCTGATGTGAGCCGGCAGCCGAAGGGGCTGCTGCTGAATACCGAGGCAAAGAGAAAGGAAATGGCATGTCAGAGCCCTGCCGAGATGCGAAGAGCGGCTGGAGGGAGCTGTGACCGAGCTGCTCTTTCCCAGGGAGGATTCTCCACCCCATCCTGGGTGGGATCTCGGCGGTCCTGCTTAAAGCTGAGCAGACGGGGTTGGAGTTCAGTTGCCCTGGGCAGGACTTGCTCGTGAGCAGGGACACGGGAATAACTTACACACAGGACAGTGATACATTGCAGTTCACTCTCCCCATGGAAGGTAAGAGGAGGTTCATTTTCTTTCCTTGATTGTTCTATTTCTTTAGTGTTATTGCCAGAAAACAGGGTGTGAGCTGTTTTGGGGGATAGAATGACGAAGTCATGTGTCTGGTTGTTCCTGCCTGAGATGCGCTGTTTCTGTCTGGGCTCGTTTAGACAGAAAACAGAAAGTTTTACAGGGATAGATTTTGTTTGGGATTTAGAAAAAAAAAGCAACAAAAAAACCCAAACAAAACCCAAACAAAAAACTACCACTAACAACAACAAAAAAAACCCAAACAAACAAAAAAATCCCAAAACAGAACAACCCGTAGTTCTTAGAATTTTGCAATCTAATGCTTTAGCACCTGAAAGTCACCCAGAGGGCATGCAGTACAGAGCCGGGGCGCGGGAGGGTTTCGCGCTCGGCAGAGGTTTCTCCTCTAGAGGGTAGCAGCTACCTGCGCCGCGACAGCCGGGAACCCACGCCGCGGGTGGCAGCGGCCACACCGGCACCGACACGGCTCCCCGTGCCCTGCAGCGACTGAGACCCCCTAGGAGGGACTTAGAGTCCCTTTGGGGTGGTGTGCGTGAATACAGGGACATGGGTGTGGTTTGTTTCGCTGTACGTCTCACAGGTGATTAGTCACGAAATTCCACATGCTGGCCAAGAAATGGAGGTTTTCGTTTGTTAGATAAAAAATTCTATGTTTCGCTGTGAGTCAGCCTAGGAGTGGCGGGAGGGGGCACTGGTGGCTCCTCACAGGGGCCACCAGGACCCTTAGCGCTCACACTGAGGGCTTGTCCCTGCCCCTGCGTGTACAGCTGGGCAGGGGACAGCTTCCCCACGGGGGACAAAGCAGGGTGGTGGGCAGCACGGGAGCCAGGAATGCAGCAGCAGCAGTGTGCTGTGGAGGGGAAATGAATGTTAGCCCTTGGGAAACTGTCAGCATCAGAGGAGAAGATCCCCTGAACACTGAAGCATCTTCCTGAAAAGTAATGATGGAAGCAACCTGCTTGCCGTGAGGGAAGAAGCCAGGAGAGGGAACTTTGGGGTCCCTAAGCCTGCAGCAGTGGGGTGGCTGTCCCGGTCCCCAGCGCAATCAGAGGCTGCAGAGAGGCTGCAGGGCTGTGCTGGGCTCTGGCGCTCGGCTGTGCTCCTGCGTCTTCCCCAGAGCAGGAGGAGGTTTTGGGGTACAGGTTTAGCATGTGTTTGCTGCTCATCTGGCTTGACTCCTCGGTTGCTTTCCCACCTCAGTCCTGCTGAACCCGAGTACCCTCAGCAGGGCTGGATCCCCCAGCAGCACCCCCAGCCTGCTGGAGCTGGTGCCACTGTGCTGGGGCAATCCTGGCATTGCTCCTGCCATCAGCTGGGCCAGCTTCAGCTCCCGCCTTTGCCAGAGGCTTGCTCTGTAATGCTGAAAAAATCCTACAGTAATTGACAGATCTGTAGGAGGGTATTAAATGTCTACATGTCAGATGGTGGCTTTTATTTTATCACTTGGTGTAAAACATTCTGTATTCTCTGAGCAGGAGGTGGAAGTGTTGCAGTGAATGTTTTCAGAAAATAAATTAGTGTCATGTCGTCCCTTCCCAGCAATGCTCCCCTGACAGACGGCCACTGGGGCCACGGCTGCCCAGCCTCACTGGCAGCTCTGCGATTGCATGGGCTTTGAGGACTGTTTGCCAGGACCACAATTGGGAATAACACTGCATTTCTTGTCCTTTGCCTCTCTATACAATAAATCAAGCTGAGATTTCAACCCTCTGTTTGCTGATGCTCTCTGGCCAAGTTTTGAGTCAATTTATTTCTCATTGCTTTACGTCACCCTGGTGATGTGCCAGACACAAGAGCTGAGAAAAACCACGATTAATTTGCTGCATTTGAGCATCCATCCATCGGTACACAGAGGTCTTGAAGGCAGTGAAAAAGGTATATTTTTACGGTAGAAAATTGCTTGTCTTTAGGAAATTAATAAATTGTTGACAGAAGCTATAAGTCATAAGAGAAGACTGGGTTATGATGTCAGATATTCACCATGAGAACATTATGCTTTTGAGTGCTGATATGAGGAACGTGGTGGGGTGCAACCCGGAGGGATGCTGGCAGGAGGGGCCATGCCATGCCCAGCGCAGGGAAGGACCCACCTTTCCCACAGCTGCTGCACACCAGGGGTGCTGGGCAGGGAGAAGCCAGCATCTGCTCTCCTCTGCGTTGCATTCACTGGTGAGAGCTGCCTGTAAAGCCAGTAGAAGTGCCTGGCACGAAGCAGAAGCCTGAGGCGGGCGTTAGGGTGAGCCAGGTCCTGGCAGTACCCGCACAGGGTGTGCGGCGGTGGGGAAGCCTGATGGGTGCTGCAAAGGCCCCCGAGCAGTCACCCGGCTGTAAGCAGGGCTACCCCCTTGTCCCCAGCACCGGTCCCATATGGGAGAGCTGTTAAAGAGTCAGGGAGGTGGTTTGGGGAGAATTTTCATGTGGATTTCTGTTGGTTTGGGTATGAATTTGCCATTCCAGCTTCTGAAGTCCACCATTTAGCAACAACTCCGGGGGGGCATTAGCTGGGACCTGCCAAATCGTGGCCCTTGTGGTCTGGCAACATCCGTGCAACAGGCGCTGAGTGCACACAGTGCCCGCTGAACCCGTCCTTCCTCTGCCTCTTCCCATTTCCTTTGATGCTCCTGGGAAAAGGCAGGACCTAGAGCTGTTGAAAGGCATGCTTGTGTGGGAAGGAAACTTGGCTTCTTTGGTGAATAAATAATATCCAATAAGTAGCTGTTTTATGCGTTAAAACAAAGCTTTATGAAAGGCAAAAGACAAAGGAAAGGCTCTGCTGACAGCTCGGTAGGTTTCTACTGTGGTGTCTGATGTCTTCTGGCTGCTGGAGCCTGGGGATCACTTGTGGTTCTCAGCTTGGTTCAGCGACCGTAAGCATCTGTAGCAGGGTTGGTGCTGGCCACCCTGGTTTCAGCTTTCTGGGGCTGTGGTGCTGCAGACCTTGCTGCTGCTTTCATCGCCTTCCAGAAACAGGGCAGGAGCGAGGGGTGTGCGGGGGAGGGAGGTTTGTGGTGGGTGCACAGAGGGTGGTTATATGAAGAGGCCGGTGCTCATGTGCTGCACAGCAGCTTCCCACTTTCCTTCCCAGCTCTGAGGTCTCACACAAGAATGAGGATCCTCTTGAAATTTGACCTTTTTTTCTCAGTTTTACTCCTTGTATTTGGCAACTGTTCCTCCTTTCTTTCACAAAGCAGCACAGTAATCAGATGACTTCCCTGGCCCAGGCTACCCAGCCTTTCTTGATGGAACCTTTCTATTTGTTAGGCAAAGCCTATTGATTTAATTTCTGTATCATTATTCAAGCTAATATGAAATATGTCACTGATGATGGTGCATGAAATCGAACAGAGTCTGAAAAAAAAGGTGAAGTATTAAATAAACCTTGCCAAAGGACGGGAAGGAGGTGGAGGTGAATATGCAATAAGGTTACATGGTGCCGTGGCTGTTGCTCTATCTCTCCGGCTCCATGCAGGCTGTTAGTGCTTTCAGCTTCTGGGAAATGTTGGCAGGGCCACCTGAGCAGGTCAAACACCAGCACAGGTTGCTGGCAGGGATTGGAAGCCACATCAGACAGTGAATGGCCAAGCTTGTATCCAACCCTGTCTACCTCCTGTGCCAGTGTGCAGCTGCAGCCGTGGCTCTGGGGGTGATGCTGGCAGAGCAGTTCCCTCGATGGCTACCTGGCATGGGAGGCGAATGGAACCTTTCCCACCTAGTGCAAGGAAGATGAGAGCTGTCTGCTGAGGTGAATATACTGTCCCTTTCACCGGCGCATCTTGGCCTAAGCAGAAATAGCCACCATACTTGCTGTTATCCATAAATATAAAATTATGCATAAAGATGCATCTGAGGAGTATGTAATAAAGCAGATATCCATGGCTGGTTGTCCAGGGCCTGTGTGGGAAAGACCTGTCAAACACCGCTTTCTCTGGGCTCTTGGGGTAACTTGCCACTAGATGTCACAGCGTGCTTGGGTTTGTGTGGGGGACCAGCAGTGCCAGTGGTGCTGGGGACCCCCACCCAACCCACCCAAAGCGGGGATGAAGCTGTTCCCTAAAGTCTGTCTGTTGCACTGAAGCAAAAAAATCTCTTTGTCTGGTATTTTTTTTTTTTTGATCATTTTAGAAACAGATTTCATATATCATTCAGCAAAGTCAGAGAGACCAACAGGCAAATAAAGAGGTTCAGCTGCTGCCAGCCCTCAGGGGTGACCCAGATGGGACCCCTCCACTGGCCGGTATCCAGTGGCCCTTCTCCCACTGCAGCAAATGGCAAACTCTTGTTAGCTTCAGTTAATTTAGCAGGAGCACACTATATGTGTTTCAAAAACTTGTTCTGAGGGGAACAAGTTTTGCCATCAGTCCAATTCCATCCAGCACAAGGCAAATGGAGGCCAGAGCTCGTGCAGCTGCCCGGCACTGACCTCTGCCTAAACCATATCAAACATCTATTTATAGGCGCACAGGAAGCCGTACTGGACCCTGTGCTTCCTCTCTCATCTGAGATGAATCTTTAATCAGCACAGCAGCACAGGGAATATTAATTTTCTGTGCTTTTTCACTGAGCATTGCTCTGAGCAGTGGTAGAATATGTACATGGTTGGGTTTAGGCAGGCTGGTGATGAGATAGGCAAGTCATCTCCTAAACTTGTTACAGTTTTATAAAAACTGGGTATATTGTTAAAAGACTGGAAGTAGATTAGAGTGTGATGGATCTGCTGAATAAATAAATGAATGACAGCATGTAAACCTCCGGGTGGAAGGGATTTATGTACAGACGCAGACTGGCAAGGTCACGCCACCACACGTACCCAGGCTGTTCTTTGGTGAAATGTAGCTATTGCCGTAATGATGGCATTGCTCTGCTGCATTCATTTGCCATCAAAAATTAGCATGTTTTTGACAATCTCAAACTGAACAGACGTCACCTCCAGGGGCGACCGGGGCTGGACGCGGGCATTCTTTCCT